GTCAACAAGTAATTAGGAGACAAATATAAAATATCTCAAGACAAATAAAAATGGTGATACATAATACTAAATTGTATATTATTATTTTTTTATAAAGTCACTCTGTGTTATTCAGGGTGGCCTTGAATGCCTAGACTCAGTGACCCTCCTTCTTCAGCCTCTTGAGCATGTGTGAGTATAAGCGTATGCTATTTTATTGTTGTTTTTAAGGCAGGCACTTGCAGTGTATCCCAGGCTAGCTTCAAATTCACAATTTCCCCATTTCAGTTTCTCAAATCCTAGGATTATAGGTGTACACTACTAGTTTGGCAAATATCTATGTGTTTTAAGGAGGCAGGACTATATGGGGAAAAAGAATTATTCAATAATTGTTGTATGAAAATGATATATAGGAGTTTGATATAATCATTAAGTTCGCAAACTGCTGTTAGTAGTTGGATGACCTAAGGTAGATGATATAACTTTTCTGAATTTCATTTTCTTGTGTAAGAAATTGAGATGTTGCCTAGGTGTGATGGCACATGCCTTTAATCTCAGCACTTGGGAGACAGAGGTGGATCTCTGAGTTTGAGGCTAGCCTGGTCTACATAGTGAGTTGCAAGCCAGTCAGGGATATATAGTGAGACTATGTTTCAAAGGAAAAAAAAAGATAACTTGAGATATTAATTTAATAATATCTCATAGCATTACTTAATAACTAATGAGTTAATACATACCAAGTGTGTAGCTAACAAATGGCTTCAATTAATGTCCAATTATTAATGTAAATATTAGGTATAAAACCATAGGGATAGATACATACAGAGTTTAATCAGCAAGCACAGAAGCTAGGTGTTTATGATGGGGGGCTGGAGAGATGTTTTAGTGGTTAAGAGCACTGGCTGCTCTTCCGGAGGACCTGGGTTCAATTCCCAGCACCCACATGGCAGTTCACACCTGTCTGTAAGTCCAGTTTCAGGTGATCTGACACCTTCACACATACATGCAGGGAAAACAAACAGAAGGGAACTTGAAATAAAAATAAATTATTAAAAAAGATTTATTTGTAATCAACACATAGTTGAGAATGCTGGATGAATAAAGTAATTAAAAAAAAAGCTTGGCTGGGCGTTGGTGGCACACGCCTTTAATCACAGCACTTGGGAGGCAGAGGCAGAGGATCTCTGTGAGTTCGAGACCAGCCTGGTCTACAAAGGCTAGCTCCAGGACAGCCTCCAAAGCCACAGAGAAACCCTGTCTCAAAAAAAAAAACAACAAAAAAAACAAAACAAAAACAAAAACAAAAAACAAAACAAAACAAAAAGCTTGAACTTCCAACATGGTCATTAGAATATTATTGAGTTATTGAATGGTAGCATAGCAAACTGAATAGTGAAAAAGCACTCCATTTCTGGGTCTATAGGAAGTAGCAATACTAAAAGCATATCCCATGCCTGGTAAACTTATGCTACTGGTACTGACACACCCATAAGATGTGCTAGTAAAATTGCAGCTACTGTTGAGATCAGCTACGCTGATTTTTCAGATATGTTTCTGTTTCAACTGTCCAATCTCTTGAATGAGATACCACCTCCTACTAGTTAGCATGGGAGGGCTGCCACTGAGCCCTAGCTGCTTGAATCTTTCTGGCTTGGGGCTCAGAACTTCTCTAGATCAGGATGACAGCTTCGGTTACCTCTCTGCTCCTCTTCTGGAAGCCCCCATGCTTCTTTGTCCCTTCCATTTAGAGTTGTGTGTGTGCATGCATTCTTTGTATGAACACGTGTGGGCATGCGTGTGCAGGCCTGACACTGATGTCAGGGATCACCCTCAACTTCTCTTCCACCTTTTCACTGAGGCAGTGTCTCAAACCCAGAGCTCTCTAAAACAGCCAGTCTTGCTGGCCACCTCCATCTGGGGATCCCCTGTCTCTGCCTACCCAGGCCACCATGCTCACTGGCATTTGCTTGGGTTCGAAGGCTCTGAACTCCTGTTCTCACCCTTGCTCAGCAAACACTTTAACCACTGAGCCATCCCCACTGCCCCTAGCTCCCCATTCTTAACCCGAACCTTTCATCTCAGAAATTCAGCTTTGATCCTTCCCACTTCCTTCCGATGGTTACTTTAACCGAAGTGAGTCAAGGCTTACTGAAAAAATGACCACAGACTATCAGATCCCACCCGCCCCGTCCCAGGGCTGCCTGGCTAGCACGTGTGTGTGTGTGTGTGTGTGTGTGTGTGTGTGTGTGTGTGTTGTCAGGGTTACTCAGCCCATTATTTCCCCTTATCCTCCAAGTCACGAGACCTCCAGTAGGGCTTCCCTTGCCACAATCCTCCCCAACCCTCAGAAGTTAATCTAATACCTCTCCGGTGGCTCAGGGAGGGAGAAGAAAGAGTGACTGGTTGAATCCTTTGGGAACCTATCCCAAAGTAGGTCAATTTACCCATATTCTATTCTTTTGGTTCAACTCTCTTGCCTCTGACCTAAACCCAAAGAAGAATCCCAGGACTTGGACAGCTGAGGCAGGAGGAGCAGAGTTCAAAGCCATCCTGAATTTTAGCTGAGACCTTGTCTCAAAGCATCAAGGGCTGGAGATTGAGTTCAGCAGCAGATGCTTGCTTAACATGTGAAAGGCCCTGGGTTTAGCTCATCAGACTGTGGGAGGTAGGGTTGACAGCAGTTTTTAATTGTGGTTGCTAGTAGTAACCAAAGTTGTGGAGTGAGATTATCTTCCAGTTCCAGGAGCTAGTTATGACTTTCTGTTAGTCCCCAGAGTGCACCCCGACAGATCTAAACTTACCCTGGGATCTCTGCAGCTTAAAGGGATAGACACATTATGCTCCCCTTGCTTAGCATTAGCTGTGTGTCCAGAGTCACGTTTTCCAGCTTTGGACACTAGCATGGCCTTTAAGGGTTTCATGGTGTGTCTTAAAGGACTGAGATTGAAGATCTCAGTGGTTTATGCTGATGCTTTGAAAGTGAAGCAAGATTTTCCTCTGATGAGATCTGTGCTCCACCCCTTCCTGGAGAGGTTGTTGGCATCCTTTCTTTGGAATACAAGATTCATTCACCCCTTTGACCTTCCGGAGCTTTGAGGAACATTTTTCAATCAGACAGGACTCAATGGACAGCACAATGTCATTTGAATAAGATCCATTTATTTAAAATTAGAATCTGCTACAAAAACAGACAAACAGTACACCATTCCCAGAGGAATTGAATTACTTCTAGTTAAAAATGAGTTCTATTAGAACTAATTTTAGGTGGTTATAAATAAACTGGCCACAGCTTTCAAGAATGAAATGGTTAGAGAATGAAGTCAGCGGAATCCCTCTGAGCTGTTGGAAGGACAGACATCAAAAGGGATCCCTGGTTTCCTTTTCTAAGCCCTACTTCAGGAGTCCTGAACTCAGGGATGGAAGAAACTAGAGGGCATCACAGTAAACATGTCTGTAGCTATGAAGTGTGGCCAGCCTTAGAATGGAAGCTTCAGCTGGCTTCCCAAAGAAGACCCCCCCCCATTATATAACATAATTTACCTTAGAACACTCAAATACTACCACGTGTCTTGTGTGGAAACAGCTTAAACATAGGTAAAGATAATAAATATTGTGAAGTTATAATATTGGGCTTCTTTCTAAATAGTTCACAGAGAAGCTCATTGAATAAATAGGGTGGGAACTGAGGTATCAGAGGTAATAAATACTTTGGAGAGAGGTACAATGAGGTTTCCCAAGGAGTTGCTTCTGCCAGCTAAGACCCCCCAGGTAAGATTAAAGAGCTCTGTTGAAGCCCTGGCGTCCGGAGACTCAACACACACTCTGGGTGTTTTAGCTTTTCATTTTGATGGTCATGTATGTTTCTATGCAGTTGATGAAGATATCAAATTCATTCATGGCCTTGTAGACGCCTTTCTCTTGGAGCTGTGCAGGGAGAAAAACACCTGGTTAAGACCTGTTGGAGGTTGAGGAGATCCCTGGACTTGGCTGGGCAGGACCTTAAATGCAGAAGGCTCTCTGTTTTTTTTTTTTTGTGTGTGTGTGTTGGGAACTGATGAACCTTGGGAACACGAGGATTTATCCCACGGCCTTGGGAAGGAGCTGTGCCTTCACCTGCATCATCTCCCAGCTTTAAGCTCTGCCAGTAGCCAGCAAGGGAAACTCATTCTCAAAGTACTGACTTCAGAATGGTGCCTTTTCAACATTTTTGAGGCCCGGGCTCACATAATGCTTATGCAGAATGTTATGTGAAGTTGTTAGAGGAAAAAGTTTGAGAGCAGCACAATGATAGAGAAAGACAAATGTTTTTTTATGTTTTGGGTGTTTAGGCAGTCCCTGCCCCGCTCTTCAAGGGATTCATGCCTACTGATGTTGGAACCCCGCCAGGTATCTCTGCCTACCCCACGAAGATGACGAAGATGACGTAGGCCGAATGGCTTCTGGGAACTAGGGTTTAATGGGTTCACAGGCAGTTGGCAGTGTGAAACCTCATTTTGTTTGCCAGGTGGAAAGTGCACCGGGACAAATAAGAATTCTGCTTCCTGCTCATTCTGATTTTGGGGGCATCCAGGCTGAGCCCCAAGATGTGCCTGTATGCATCAATTCATGTCTGCTTTCTGCACTTGTGGGTTCAGCCCATTTCCCAACAAGGTACTTTCTGTACTTTCTGTTTCCTTTGTCACTCTCCCCAGCACCTAGTGCTCTGCGCTCATAGGTTGTCTGGTCAGTCTAAGCTGAAAGCCTGCAAAGGTGAGGCAGTCATTTAGAAACCCTCAGAGACGCTTTGCAGAAAACAAATGTGACTGAGGTGGCTGCTCCTAACTGGCAGAGGAGGTGACACGATTTGCCAGGTTCCCACACTCCAGGTGCAAAACAGCCCCTCCTTCTGCCTTCGGTGAGCAGACAGGGGTTGCATTACGCCCACCCTCCTTGCTACTACCCAAGCTTACCTTATTAAAATCACTCTTCACCTTTTCCACAGCCTTGCTTTTATTTTCACAGGGGAGGAATCGATGCTGTAGAAGAAAAGGAAGTGTTAATAACTCTAGCTCCAATCCTGTGTCCATGCCACTTGGGGGAACAACCTCATTGCATGATGAAGGGGCTGGATTCATCTTCAATGCCCACCTCTTAGCTCCCAGGGAGAAATGAGCCCTGCTTGGTCCTTATCTATTACACCAGGGGCAGAGGAGAATAGTCCAGGAAGATGCAATGTATGTCTTTGGAATTACTAAGATGTTTGTAAGCTGTAGGTGTGAACTCAGGTCTTAGGCTTTGTCTCTCTATTGTGTTTTGCATGTCTCATCTTGTCTATCTCCAATCTCAACTGCCATGAACTATGTCTAGGTGTCTGAGAGTGGAGATAAAGTCTCATCTACTGGGGCCAAATCGTTGGCTTAGAACTTGTGCACAAATAGACACCTACTGATTTCCCAGTATCAGTGAGAGAAGAAAGCAAAAGCATCACTGCAGTCAGAGAAATAGATGCTCTGGGCATATTATTCATAGATCCTGGTTTAGGGACAGTAGTCTTCTGGCCCTTCTGAAATGCCAGGGAGAATCCTATCAACCCAGTTATGTGTCACTGAATTTACTTCCCAAAAGATGAGACAAAGAGGTGAATTTCTTCTTCTGCTTGGGAGTCTCAGCTGGCAGCCTGGGGCCCAGGTCCAAAGAGACTTGAGGGAGCTGTAACTGAAGCCCTGGCCTTCCCAAGAAGAGAGGGGAGTAGCTAATAACCCACAATGACTCACAAATAACAGGAAGACTATGCGCAAATCTTCACGTGTAAGTGTCTCAAAGCCACCCCCACTCTCGCCCAGAGACAGATGAGCCAGAGATCTGACTGGAGGCGCTGGTGTAGATTTACCTAGTCCCCAGTCTAGTCTGTGTGTCTCTGGATGTATGTGGCCTGGTTGGGCTGTAGAAAATGGAATTTGTTGGGTGGCTCCAAGGGAAAGAAGTGGTCTGCTACTCACACAGCGCTGCAGCTGCCTCCTGAGGGTCTTCAGCTTCTCTCCCAGAGAGTTCAAATGCTCCTTGATTTCTGGGCCATGGTTCTCTGCCTGGGGCATCACTTCTACCAGGTAAAACTGGATCATTTCTGATAAGGTTTGGCAACCCAAGTAACCCTAGAGGCAGAAATAAAAGATTGGGGCTTACTGGAAGGATGGTGTGTTGCAACTAAATTTGATGGACTGGTTTGTTGTCCCTAGGAACCCTCTCTTTCTCTCTAGTTGCATTCTATCCCTTTACCACAGAATGAGCTCTTCATAACCCTTGGTTGCTGCCCATATGCTGAGTTAAGGTCTTCCCACTTCTCCTTTTGAAAGCTCCCGCTGTCACAAGCAGTGCCTCCCTCCCCTAACCACCGGATCACTCCCCAGCACCCATGTGATGCGTACCTCAAAGTCCTGCACTAAGGAGTCAGTGAGTAGTATGTTGTCCAGCTGGTCCTTCTTTTGCTGCAAGAACAAAAGGAGCATGAATGCAAGGGCTGGGACGCATACCTGGCATACATATCTTCTGAATACCTCCTCATTTATAGGGTTTTGAATTAGTAATCAATGTAGCCCTGGCAAATATTGAAGGGAGAGTTTTACAAACAGGATTTGATGGCGCTAGAGCCTGGAGTGAAATCAAAGCCCTTCCTCTTAGCATCGCACTGTTTGATAGAAGCTTCTTCTGCCTGGCTTGAATACACAGGGAGCAGCTTGCCCCAGGCCTGGTCTTCTTTCAGATGAGCTACATGAGATCTCAGGGGCACCTGTATCAACCCCTCCTTCTGGAGTCCCTTATGGAGAGTGTCTTAGTTGCATGGCTCTCTGCTTTCTCTGGAAAGGGACTCCTCTTGTAATGCAAGCTCTCCATGCCTGGTGCTGCCCTGGAACCAGAGACTAAGCAGAGGCAGCATGTGCCTTCTACCTCAGACTTCTGTCCCAGCCATCAAATATGCAGCTTCATTGGAAACGTCACGGAAAGCTCTTGAGCGCAGGAGAGACAACGCAGTCACCGTTTAGGTGGCTTTTCCTGTGCCTGGGTTTCATGTAACCCATAACCCATGACTTAGCCTAGGATGCTCTGGATATAAGTTAAAGGGGGATAGTGCTGGGAATAGAGCAGGAGCAAGGGGTGGGAGCAGGAAGATGAGGAGGAGGGCCACTGCTACAGTTCCATCAGAATGTGTACTTCCAGCCACCCCAGCAAGGAAGGATAGGCAGGCTTCATACTCACAAAGAAAGTCTTCACCTGGCTGAAGGCAGTTCTCAGCTCTCGGAGCATGTGGGTCTGGCTGACTGGGAAGTGGGTGCAGTTATTCTCTTGCTGGGTATACTGGCCTCTGCTGGGCCCCACTCCAGCCAGTAAGAGCAGGCAACAGAGCAGTGCTGAGACGGGCATGGTGGAGCTCTGTTTTCTGCAAGGCTTCCTTGTGGCTTTGGTACTGCAAGAGCAAGCCCCTCAAGTGTAGACCTCCCTTCCAGTGTCCCCCTTTTATACTGAAGGCTGAATGAGGGCTCTCCATTTACATACTTCCTGGCAAAGATTATTCAAGCTCCTCCTCCCTCTTAATTTTTTTCTTTTTTTCTTTTGCATTGTAAGCGAAATGAACTGGTAAACGAACTTCTGCATAGCTATATTTAGTATGGGCTACCTCTCTTTTAAAAAAGTTTTTCCTTTTTTTTTTTTAGCTTCTCAATACAAAAAGTCATATTTCCTGGGGGGCAGACAGCTGTTCTATGTACAGAGGCCTACAATTGTGAGTTCCATTCACGAACTTTTTAGATCACAATGACGTGGATAAATGGGCTATTCCAGAACATATTAGGATTGAGAAATAATTGGTTCCCCCACTCAACCTGGGTTGATGAGCCGATATTTCTTGCTGACCAGGAATTCACCTTAGCACGCAGTTATCTGAAGGGAGCATGCGTGTGCAGATTGTCCTTAGAACTCGCTCTCGCCTACTTCTTCCATCTTCTTTTCAAGACTATTCCTTGAAGAGACATGTGCGCTGTGGGATGGATGGTAGACTGGAGTGCCGAGGCCTCTTCTGGCCCTTGCTTCACTGAGATTCCCAGATGCCAGCATGGGAAGTTAGGAGAAGGAGCTCAGACTTCTGGGAAGCTTGCTGGGGCTGTCAGGTAGTCCTTATATGGTCCTGTTTTGCAGTGTCCCAGGCTTGGAGACGTGTAACCTATCCTACCACCTGTTATTGCTCAAGGACAGAAGTGGTGACGCTACTAGCTAGTGGGCCAGGCACCTGAGCCTAGCCAGTCTTACCTGATGTGGTGACTGGTTGATCAGGAACAAGGGCTGTGACCTCTCCTCTCAACACTCTGGGGCGTGTCTGTGCATAAATTTACTGTGAAGGGAAGAAGAACCTTCTAGAAGTTGGAATGGCGTTGACACAAGAACTGCTGCTCCTATTTATTCCAGGCTGAGTTCTACCAACCACAGGCACAGAGCAAGGGGTGAGGCGGGGCTCCATTCCTTTCACTTTCTCCTTCCCTTTTAACTCTTGGATATTCTGGGATGTCTGTTACTGCTTGCAGAAGCAACCCTCTCTCTGCGCTGCATGTTTTAGGTGTAAACACAGTGCTGTCAACCAGGTAAGCCAGGGGATCCGAATCCCAGATGAGGCTTGAGTTCCTCCTTGACCCAGACGGCATGGACCCTCACTACCCTTCCTCCTGACTGCATCTAGTACTTATTTCACTGTGACAGCACACCCCACCCCTTTTGCTGTCTTTGTCTTCCTGAGCAGGTTGTGTTTTTCCTTGTGTGTCTAACCCCCAGCACAGTCTGGCCTACAGAAGGTAGCTGCTGTCCTTGGAACTGGCATTGGATAGCTCAGTGAGCCTGACCCAGGGCTAGAGGATGGAACCTCAGGAGGCAGAGGGGTGGAGGTGCAACTCGGGGAGAGGTAGTGCCTCTTACATCTTTTTACAATTACTTCTTCTAGATGTACATCAAACTACTTCATAAAACACAAAAAATATTAGCATGTGTCTAATCATAGTATATAATTTATATTAATAAAATTTGTACATCATCTTGATATATTGATATCTTAATAATGTCTGAGCACATGCTATTAGTATAATATAACATGGTTGTGGATATGCTATATGTATTGACATGCTACGTATGTGTACACTCCACACTCCCACAATGACAGGAAGAAGAGAGATGTATGAAAGCTATATATATTTCTTGTTAATACATATTCCACTCACTGGGGCTAAGGTCGGGATCTGAATTCTTTATTTGTTCTGAAATGCATAGCCAGTTATCTTCAGCCATTTGTTGAGTAGATGATCCTTTCTTTCCCCATTGACTTCAAATTGTTGCTCACTCTCTTCCTCAGCATTTCAGATTTTAAATGGTCCTCAAAAACCTCAGGTGAGTTCCTTGATGCAAGTACATATTTAGCCAAATAAGGACCAAGCAGAGAACTGCTTTATCTCAAGTCTGGGAGGACATCTACTCAGCTGAAAGGCATTTGGCATACGCTGGGAAAAGCCCGAAACCCACAGCTACTTCTGAGACATAAATGCCAAGAATTGCATGGCAGGAGGTTTGAGCTTGGGTTTCAGGACAAGGGAAGTGCCCATGAGGGGGAAGTGAGAGCAGAGCCTGGGGAGAAATGGGCACAGTGCCAGCCTGGGTGCTGTTTGGTGCTGTGAATTAAAGAAGACATGACTGTTACACATATCTATTTGTGCATTCCTTGGGAATAAGTGGCCTGAGTCAGTCTAGAACCTAGGGAAGTTGAATTTTAAAAAAATTCTCCACTGTGGAGATCAGATAGAGGCTGTGGGTGGAGGGGGGGGTGCGGAGGAACAATGTCTCCCCTAGTGCCCTTGTTCCAAAATATCCCCTATTTCTAGTCAGCTGCCAATGAAGTCACATTATTACACGTGGCTAAAAGAAAGGATTTGTTGTTTGTTTGCCTGTGTAGCTGAGGATAGCCTGGGACACACCATCTTCCTGTCTTAACCTGCAGAGCGCTAGGACGACAGACATGCCTTCACACCCAGCTTGAGTGGCCTGCAGTCTATGGCTGGTATTGCACTCACACATTACCAGGCCTTTTATTGCCTTCTGTCTCCGACACCATCCTTCACTGCAGGATGCCAAGGAGCCAAGACGTGGTGAAGTCCAAGTCTAGTGGCCATTGATGCAGGACATCCTAATGCTCTGGGAAGCTCTGTCTGGTAAATTATGCCATTTTACCTGCAGAAGAGTCTGAGAAGAAAAGAATTGTGTGTGCGTCTGTGCTCATATGTCTGCACGAGTAGATTTTAGAGTCTTATGGATAGTGTATAAGATCTTATGAAGAATCCACTCATGCCCAATGAAAATGGCACCTGTCTTGATATAGTTTCCCCATGCCTTTCTGAAATTTTAGGGAATAGTCTGTGAGCCCTGTGTGGCACTGGGACTGTCAGGATAAGGCTGAGGAACCCAGGTTCCGGACTCAGGGATCAGCCGGATTTCTTGGCAATAGAGTCCACATGGGGAACGAGTGTGTGATACAAGGAGAGAGAGTGGGATTGTTCAGACCTGATAAAAAGTCTTTTAAAGATCTTGATCCTATTTGCTATTAGTAGGTTTTTTTTGTTGTTGTTGTTTGTTTGTTTGTTTGTTTTGGAGGGGATCTAGGGAGATGGCTCAGCCCCAAAGAGTGTGTGCTGTTCTTTCTGAGGACTGGAGTTTGTTTCCCAACTCCCAACCACAACTGGCTGCAACTCCCACCCTAGGGGAATCTGATGAACTTTTTTGGTCTATGTGAGCATCCTTATCCATTTGGGAATCAGCACTCACAGGCATGTATAAAACACACACACACACACACACACACACACACACACAGACACAGAGTTAAATAGATAATAAAAATCTTAAAAAAAACCCTTTAAAAGGCTGATAATGGGAGTTTCATTTCTTCTTATCTAGTGTGTAAAATAGTTTCACTTTAATTTTAAGTGAAACTATTTTAAGTTTTACATTTGTAGTGTTTCCCAAATAATCTTGTTCAGTGACCTGGACAGAGTTCCCTTGGTGGTTTCACTGCATCCGATTTCACTTGTTCCACATATACACAGTGCCTGGGTAGGAGTCCAGGAGATGGGTCTACAGGCAGGGAATTCGTCAAAACAACCCTTCTGACTTTGGCCTTGTGATCTTTAAGAATATTTTGGAACGAAGACTTGGAAGGTCAGAAATTTAGGAGGAGTCCAAGTTAAGCCTAGCCTCAGGGTAAATCAAGCCAGGATTATGCAAACCAGATTGGATGTCCTGAGAATTGTGGCCAGCAGATGTTGCAAAGCACAGAGGAAGGGCAGATCACTGGATGGCCAACATGGAATTCCCCTTTGTGTAACTGTGGTGCCATATAAAGCAATCTGGATTTTACTCAGGGACCAACACCTTGCTCTTTAACTTCTCACATGAGAAATCTGTCTTATCAGAGGCACCAGGTGATATTTCTGGCTACTCCAAGATGGCAGGCATTTGAGCTGTCTCTGTGACCACCCAGGATAACTATAGGTACCTGAGCCTGGGACAACAGTGGCATCTCTCAGCTGCAGAGCTTGTCCTTTGATGGGATTTGGCTTATGCAAATCTCTCTATGGTTGATACTTCAAATCTACAGACAGGTCTTAGCAGGGTGGCTTCTTAGACTGTGACTTTAGCCACTCTAGCCACCACACAGGGATCCATGATTGAAAGGACCGTGCTCTTACTGTCTTGAAATTTTTAGTGACTGTTCAGCAGGGAACACTGTTTCTTCATTTTGCACTGGGGCCTCAGTTTATGTAGTACAGTGGTTCGAAACCTCCCTAATGCTGCGATCATGTTTTGGTGATCCCCCAACCATAAATTTAGTTTTGTTGCTACTCCATAACTAGAATTTTGCTACTGTTATGAATCATAATGTAAATATCTGTGTTTTCTCATGGTCTCAGGTGACCCCTGTGAAAGGGTTGTTTGACCCCCCCAAAGGGGTCCAAACCCACAGGTTGAGAACCTCTGATGTAATATCTTAATTAAAATGTTCTTTTTGGGATGTCATCTTTGTCACAGTAAACAGGGCCACCATCCACCTCAAAAAATAATCTGTTGGTTCCTTCCTCCCCTCTGCCAGTCCAGGTTCAGTTGATCACTAGCTCCTCTGGAGTTTCCTTCACAAACATTTCATCATCTCTAGTTCAGAGTAATCATTTGCAAACACCAGCGAGACTATGACTCTCCTATAGTAGCTCCCCGCTTTGCCTTACGGCACAGACTGGCTAGGAGCTCACAATGTGCAGTAGGTTGGCTTTGAACTTATGATGCTAACCCTGCCTCTACCTCCCGCAACTCATCTTATTTTTTTAAAGAGATTTTTAAAAAATTATGTGTATATATGTATGGGAATGCAAACATATGAGTGCAAAGGCCCATGGAATCCAGAAGAGGGTGTTGGATCTCTTGGAACTAGAGTTCCAGGTGGTTGTGAGCCTACTGCTGTGGGTGCTAAAGCATTATTTGTTCTTGACCACCGAGTCATCTCTCTAGCTCCAAGACTCACATTCTTAACACTTACAGAAACTTATTACCATTTGACCCTATCCATTATTTCTACTTCAATTTCTTACTTCCCTCTATAATCTAGCCTCTTCGGTTTTTGTTCATTTTTTTTTTCCTTTCAAATGATCCATAATTTCTCTACCACAGGCCTTTGCATATTTAGTTCTTCATGCTCTTTTAGCTTAAATACCACTTCTTATATGATTTTTCTTTCATTTCCTAGTCCAGGACAGATCCTCTGGGTGTCTTGTATTTCTAGTGTCCTGCATTTTTCCTGTATATGACTCATGTCAGGAATTTGTACAGGTGATGATGATGATAAGGCTATTTGCTCTCAACCTCATTATATAGGATCATCATTATCCACCCATCAAATCGCTGTGGACATACTGAATCTTATGGTGTCTGAAGACAGGGCAGTTGCACATATAAACTTAGAGCAATTGTGACCGCATACATAAGACCCTGCACAAACTCAAGCCAGACAAAACCCCAACATGGAGATATGGAGATGGCACAGGGGGGGGGGAGAGGGAGGGATGAAGATGGGCATGAAGCCCCTCCCCTAGCTAAGGAGCTATTAACAATTGATGGCTGCTGAGTGAGGGACAGTTAGTTTTCTTTAAAGGTGCAACCCCTGGTAGGTCAACTGGTCTTTGGCCAGGCCCTACACCCAAGAGTATTGAGTAGCACAAATTGGACTCAATGGGTTTACAAAAAGAGTGAGAACATTAATTCAGGTGGATAGGGCAGTAGGGATGGATCTGGGAGGAGTTGGAGGGATAGGTATAATTAAATATATTACAAGAAATTCTCAAAGGATTAATACAAATATTTCTTAAATATTAGGTGGTTGATTGGATGACTTCTTGAAAATACGCTCAGGTTGGCCTGAAACTC